TCAGAGAGAGACAGAGAGGCAAGAGGGAAAGCGCGCACTCCTCAATAGGACATGAACGCATCACAGTCCCTCTTCCATTTCTCTGCTCTGTTGGGATTTGGGACACATGCTTATATGTATCTGATGTGTTTTTTAAGCCATTAGGACTGGGATTTGAATTGTGTGGTCAGCTATGTGTGATCCAGCTCTCTAAACCACCAGACCACAGGGCCAGTCCAGTATTATGTATTTGTAAACAAATTGCTAATGAATCTTTGTGTGCATTTGCTACTTCTTTTTGTTTTAGAACCATTCATTTAATTTTTAAAATCTATCTTTCTTTCTTTCTTTCTTTCTTTCTTTCTTTCTTTCTTTCAGTTTGACCAGAGAGGGACAGAGGGACAGAACTGGGGTGGGGAGTAATGAGAAAGCAAGCCACCAGGTCCGGGACTCAAACCACAGTCGGCCATATGGGAATCCAGCACCCTTAACCACTATGCCACCTGCTGGCCCCCTATTCACTTAATTTTATTCACCATTATTTTTTAATTTGACCAGAGAGAGAAAGTGAGAAAGCAAGCTGCCACGTCCAGGACTTGAACCATGGTCAGCCACATGGGAATCTAGCACCTCAACCACCAAGCTACACTATTTTCTTTTCTTTTTTTTTTTTTTTGGAGAGGGTTTTTTTTTTTTTTTCTTTTTTTTTTTTTTGCTATAGGGCATGTGCACTCGTCAGACAGACAGAAAGAGACAGAGAGACAGAGAGCGAGAAGTCACCCCCCCCCAGGGGGGTGGGCACGCCACAGTCCCTTATCCTCTGTTCTCCTCTCGGGATCTTGGGCACACACACGTGCCCAGCATGAGTTTTAAGCCACCGGGTCGGGGACACGAACCGCGGTCGGCTACATGGGAGTCCAGCGACATAGCCATTACACTAACTGCTAGTCCCCTGCTATTTCTTTTTAATTGCCAGAGGGCATACGTGCTCACCAGAGAGAGAAGGGGAAAGCACCACACGTTGGAGCATGGTTATACCACAATCATTTTTCCTCCTTTTCTCTCATTCCATTGTGATTTAGGGCACACATGTACACACATGTAGTGTGTTTCCCAAGTCACCAGGACCAAGACTTGAACTATGATTGACCATATGGGATCCAGCTCCCTTAACCACTGGGCTACGGAGTAGTCCCAAGTATTTGCAATTTTACATGCTTATTTCTCTTTATTTTTTTGGTGCATTTTTTGTTAGATTTAAATGTTTCAGAAGGAATAAGAATTATGTATTCTATCTTGTTTGCAGCTGTCCTTAGCAACCTAGTGTAAGTAGTGGGGTGATAATTTTTTATTATTTTTCCCACATGTCTATTTCATTGAAGATTGATTTTTTTTTAAGAGGTTTTTGCCATAAGGTGTATGTACTCACCAGGCAGAGAGAGAGGGAGACAGAGCAGTGAGAGGAAAGGTGGGAAATCACCCCCCCACTGGGCATAGCCACACAGCAATTCCTCTCCTCCATTCTTTTCTTGGATCTTGGACACGCATGCACACACACCCGACATGATTTTTTAAGCCACTGGGTCTGGGATTCAAACCATGGTTGGCCATGTAAAAATCCAGCAACATAACTACTACACCATCTGCTGGCCCCAAAGACTGATTTTTTTAAAAGGTGGTGAACTCAGGGGCCTACCATGGTTCGAGTCCTGGATTTGGCAGGCTGCTTTCTCTCTTCCCCTCTCTCTCTCTCTCTCTCTCTCTCTCTCTGGTCAAATTAAAGAATAATAACAACAAATGGAATTAAATAATTAATCTTTTTTTTTTTAAAAAAGGTGATGCACTCACCAAGAGAATACCATTAAATTGTAAACACTTTTGCCTTTGACAGGAAACATTGGTGAATTAAGATTGCATGGGTAGTTTTTTTAGCTTCTACATTATATTGATAGTTTCTTGTTTAATTTTTTGGGGGGAGGTTTTTGCTATAGGGTGCATGCACTCGCCAGAAACAGAAAGTGAGAAATCACCCCCCAGGGATGATGGCCACACCACAGTCCCTTCTCCATTCTCCTCTCGAGATTTTGTACATGCACGCACACGTGCTGGTGTGAGTTTAAGCCACCGGGTCTGGGACTTAAACTGCAGTCGACTACATGGGAGTCCAGCGGCATAGCCATTACACCAACTGCTGGTCCCAGTATCCTGTTTAATTTTTATCTACACCACCAGGTTCTTATTGTATGCAAGGTGTGGTAATAGTAAGATATTGTTACAAATCGTGTTTTTTAGTTTTGAAAAGGTGTTAGAGATACAATTAAGGCTCATTTTCTCCTCATCTCTCAAATATGTTGTGATAAGGTGACTATTATGCAAATAATAATGAAAAGATCTTACAGCTTAGTAGGTATATGAGATGGATGAACAAGTACTACACAGAAGACATGTGTGAGACTATCCAGACTTCAGTCACACTCTTGTAGGAATAGTCATATTTAAAAAGCAGTTACTGGAGTCATTATCTACTTAGGAAAGTGTAACAAAGGGGATTTTAAATGCAACCTTTAAAGAAGTTAGGAACAGATAAACTTACTCCATACGTAGATGGGACAGAAATAAGAATAGGAATCCTGTAAGAATGTTTAACCTGGCTGAAACAAAAGATACAGGGTGTAAAGAAATAGGAGATATATTACCTGGAGATATGAAGGGTGACATACATGCCTTAACATGCAGGAAAATTTATTATGGTTAGTCTGCTCACTGGTTACTTGTCCCTGCCACAGAAAACCAAAACAGGGCAAGAATATAAATTGCAGTAAGAGCACATTTGTGAGACTTGAAGAGGTTCCTGATTATGAGGATGATTAAACTGAAATGAACTACTGAAGCCACTGCTTTATTCAAAAACATTCTGTAGCTTTTCCTTTTTTCTACTGCATGAATGTTAAAAACTTGGCCTAATTTTCTGAGTAATTTATAACCTTTCTAACCCAACCTTTCCCTCCACACATCAGTATTCACCGTCTCTCAAAAAAGGTAGACTTCCTCTGTATCAGAATCACATGAAATGTTTTCCTCACTCTGTGTCAACTGTGAAATGTTTCATTCTTCCCAGGTATCTGGGTCAACCCAAGGCACAACAACTAGCTCCATTTTACCTAACTAGCCCAGTCTTTTTTGATCCTTACTTCTCATACCACTGCAGTAGTATTTACAGATGGTGCAATAAAATTTTTGTTAATGTTCTACTGACATAAGTTTTTCCATTCTTATTTGCATTTGTTCTGTGTTTTTATAAAAAATCTCTTTGAAAGCAGAGACCATACTTTTTGATATTTTTCTGTATCTCTGACATTGTCTTATCAGGTATCCAATTAATAGAAGTAGTTTTACCTCTGTAATTCTGAATAACTAGGATTGTTTGGTAGGTGGCCACTAAAAAGAGTAGTAAGCACCCACTAAGTAGAGAGTTACAATATTTAGTTGCTCATTGGGAACCAGCAATTAGCATAATGGCTATGTCGCTGGACTCCCACATAGTCGACCGCGGTTCGCGTCCAGGACCTGGTGGCTTAAAACTCACGCCGGGCGCGTGTGCATGCGTGCCCAGGATCCCGAGAGGAAAATGGAGGAGAAGGGATTGCGGCGTGGCCATCCCCTCTGGGGGGTGATTTCTCGCTTTCTGTCTCTATGTCTCTCTCTGGCTGGCTGGCGAGCGCATATGCCTTATAGCGAAAACCTCTCCAAAAAAAAAAAAAAATTTAGTTGCTCATTAAATCCTCAATTTTTGGATTTTTTTTTTTTGAGATCTTTACATAAAATCCATATACTAAATCAGATGGTTTTTGAGCCCCCTTCAATTTTTTGAGTTTCTGGTTGACAATTGAAGATTAGGATGGTAGGGGATAGCCAGGTGGCATGGTTAAGTTGGCTGGATCCCACATGACTGACTGTGTGGTTTGAGTCCCAGACCCAGTGGTTCGAAAAACATGCTAGGCACATGTGCATGCAAGCTTATATACTCAAAATACCAAGAGGAGCGGGAAAGAGGAGGGCCTGTAGTGTAGTCATCTCCCCAGGAGGTGCTTTCTCTTCCTTACTCTTTCTTCCTCTCTCTCTCCGGTGAGTGCACATTCCTTATGACAAAATAAAAAGATTAAGATGGTAGAAAGTTTTGAAGTCTATGTCAAGAATCTAGACTAGCATTTGTTTTAGAAAATATGGAAATTATTCCTTTATATGGAATGTATTTGTTAAGAGATAATTAAATAGTTATTAAACCAGGTATTGATGGAATTCTTGGGCATTTGGCAATGCAGAATATCCCTGTGCTTACAGTTCACAATCTAATAGGAATTTTCAATGGAAGGAGTGAAATGACCTACCTTTTAGAGACAGAAAACCAGGAGGCATCCATTTTTGCCATTCTTCTTTTAAAGTTTGAAGCAATACAAGTACCAAAGACACAGTGCTGCCTTTGAGAAGGACCTAATCTTTGTTTTATGTTCACGTTTATTCTATTACAACTTAACTACAATAACTTTTTAAATGATGTTGATT